TAACGGCACGAGGTGCCCCGCGGCACCGCCCCGCCCAGTTCTAACGGTCGGGCGCGAGGCGATAACGGCAAGTTTAAAAAAGAGCGGTAGCTGCGCACTTACGCCGGGTCTGGGGCAGGGGGAATGCTGTGTGGGAAGGGTTGTGTAACTGTTTTGTCATTTCCTTAACTAAGAAAAGTAAAGTATCTGCCAGAACTTCGAAATAAGAGAACAATTGGGCTAGATTCAAATCCTGGTTTTGTTTAATAGTACCTTATCATCAAGCCCTTTCTTGCTTTAGTGGGTCTACTTGTGGACAGCAGTTACATTCTAAAATGTGGGAGTAAAGTAAGAGTAARATGAGTAATGTAATGAGTAAGTAAAAAAGTAATGAGAAAAAATAAGAATGTAGTCAGTAGTATTTCTACATATGCCTCTCCTTCCACCCCCTTCACCTWCTCCCTGTTTGGTCATCAATCTGATATTGCTTTTCTTTCTTCATTGTTACTAGGGAGCTCAGCGGTTTTTAGCCTGAGAACCTTTAACTGGATACGTTTTTAAAAGCAAGCAGGGAGATAAGTTGTCTCCTCTTGAATGCTGAGTGCAGTATGTTTCCCAGAGACACAAGTAATTCTACRTGGTGGGAATGTAATTTAATGAAACTTGATCCTGGGAATGTCTTACTCTGGCTTTACAAACTGATGATCTAAAAGAATCTGATGCAGTTTAACTTTGCATTTTATTTCTCTAAAACTATAAATACCACAAATTATTACCATTTTTAAAGGGAAAAATGCAAAAATAATTGAGAAATATATGATGGACATTTGACTGTTTCATTTCTATAGATATTTTAGGGGGAAAAAGTAGTTGTAGTTCTGCAAGGACGAATAGTTTGCACTTGCTTAGGTCCAGAGTTAACTCTCGAAGTACTGAAGAAAATTATTGTTTGTTCGCTGGAGAACTTCATTATTTTAAATTTTTTAATGGTAGTGTAATTGATATGTCCTTTGTAACATACAGATAAAAATTCTGATCAAGCTTTTTGCTATAGTTATGTTGACATTTAAAGAGAGGAGACAGGCTTTTTCACCTCTTCCACTTTTCCATCAATTGCTGTGAGAATGCTGCGTCCTGCTATAATGCATGTCATGGAGGATTCCAGGACTCCTCCCCTCCCCCCCCCCCCCCCAATATATTGCAATAGAAAAACTTAAGAATTTGAGGTGTGGACTTTAGATGGACTTAGTTTCTTAATTAAACTCCAAATTAATAGCGCTTCATACTTTGTAGTAGTCGTTAGTTCTCAGTGTGTTTTACAACCATCCGTTACCAAAAAAACCCTGCAAACTGAGAGTAGCTTGATATCTCCTGATAGTGTAGAGTAGCACAAGGTGATACGTTTCATGAGGTCCTTACTCCTTCTTACAGCTACTGAATAATTCAAATAGCTGGATTTTTTTTTTTAATTTTACCACTTACTGTTCATATTAACTTAATATTTTCTTCGTTGTTTTCAGGTATCCGTAACTAACTAGAGTAAATTAATCCGTGGTAGAGGCTAAATTAGTGAAGTTGTGTTCACATAACCAAGCAGCATGAAAATTCACAGCTGCCAGAATATTTCCAGCTGCTAGAGGGAAAGGACAGACATTTCAACTAACAGTTTCTGTTTGTCATCACTTTGAGGTAAGTGGGTATTATAAATTATGGATTTAGTAAACGTGCAAGAAGSTTGTGCTACATTTAGATTGCTCTGAGGAAACAGAATGAATATGACAAAAGATGAATTCATCTGGAATATAATGAATGAAAGTATATAGTATAATTGGAAAGGCTTGATTGTTTTAAAACACAGATGTCTGTTCTCATTGTGGTAAGTATTAATATTATTAAGTGGTATTATTGATAAGTAGTTAACTTTTAATAGCAAAATGATTATGAGATAAAGAGAAGATGTCTGCCATGCAGACTACCCTCACAGTAGGCAAAATGAGTAGGAGACGTATCTGACTTACTGGAAGACTGATGCCACACGTGAAGCTACAGGGTGTGATATCAGGTATGTACAATGCTGGTACAATACTTAGCTATTCTATGTTAAGTTGCTGGACTAGAGAATTTAACAATGCATTTAACAATGCAGCATGTTCTCTGAAGATACAGAGCAATTGTTCTTTACAAGGATCTATTTTTGTATCTATTTAACAGAATTTGGATGCTAAATGCATTGGATTTGGGAGGAATTTGGATCTCGTTTTGTAGCTAACAAACATCTGTTGAGTGCATACTCCCGTGATTTTATTCATTTTCTCCTGGTAAGCTGTTTACTATGATATAACAGAATTCAAAAGATTAAAAGTTTTGGACCTCAAATACAGCAATATTTTGCTGAGAATTAGTTACTAATGCCTTTTACTTCTTAATAATAAATTTTTTTGTATTGATATTTGCGTCTAATGAGGTAGATATTCAAGAAAGATCAATGCTGTTCCTACCAAAACTCTTTTCCTGTTAACACAATTAAATTTAGAATTTTTAGTAAACTTTATTCAGAAATGATGWCTTTCAATACTTTACTTACAAGAARTTGTGTTCTGAGAATTACTTCTAATGTTTCAAAATCAGTAGACAGGAGTGGCTGTGTTTGAACATATTTACATAGTAGAGAAATGCATGTGTTATTGATTGAGTCCATCAGAACGAACATTTCATAGAGCAATAGACATTTTTAAATCTTTTTTTGAGGGAGAAAAATGGATAATGACAAAAATAACTTTTTTCAATAACAGAACTGAAGTTGCAGCAGTGTGAGTCATTAGTATCTCGTAGTGAACTCAAAATATTGTTACTTTCTTCATTTAAAACTTTTTATTGTTGAAGTCTTCATAGTTCGGACTTAATATTCAAGACTCCTGTTTACTCAGAGATCACTAGACCAAGTGCTGAAGTAAAGAGGAAAATGTGAAGGAAAGTTTCTTGAGGAAAACATGTCAATTATCAGCATGCTTTTAAACTTAATTTTGGAAGGCAGGAGATAATCTTATCCTGAGAACTTAAAGAACTTAAAACAGGTTGGTAATAGCAATCATTCTAATTGTTTTTTTTTTCTAGTTTTTGGGCTGAGCACCCCACTCTTGATAAAGCTGCGCAAAGGTGTGTAGTGACTATATAGCTTAAGTGACAGATGCTTCAGAGCCACAGCAGTCCCTCAGTCCCTCTGCAGATGGGACAGCAGTCCCTCTGAGATGGACCTCAGAGGCTAGAAAGAGCAAAGTAATCATTAAACTTCATTTTCCACATTATTATTATTATTAATACTCTTGGCTAGTGTAAAATTTTAGCTGTCTTTCAACCCTGTTTGGGGAGAGAAAAGGCCGAATTCCAGGACCCCAGACTGTATAGTTTGCAGTAGGGTTGCACAGTGGCAATGCCTGATTTCTCATTTGTGTTTAGATACTCTCAAAATAATGTTCCCTGCAACTCTTAGCTGAAAAATCATTGAAATTTGTAAATTTGTAGGATGTTTGACCAAACCTTGTTCTGAAGTTTAATGAAAGTTGAAAGCCTGACTTGAACTCTTCCTTTCCCCATGTTTTCCAAATGCTAGTGTGAGCAAATGCATGAATTTCACAAACTTCACTTTTTTTTTTTTTTTTTTTTTTTTTTTTTTTTTTTAAGAGCTGTAAGTTATATTTTTTTTTTTGAGGGGCTTGGACTTAGTATCAGTTTTCTCTATGAAAAATAACTTGTTAGCCATTTGCTAAGTTAATGTACAGATCTTCACAGGTGGAAAAGCACAGCCCTTCTCTCAACAGTGAAACTTACGGAGATTATCGGCCTTCAAGGACTAAGGGTAAAAACTCAGATTGATGGTTAATGCATCACTTGGGAGTCATCTGTAATGTTAGTCCCATGATGTTACCGGTATTGTGAGGAGGGGAAAAACAGTTTGGACATGGTCTCATGAGATAGCAATTACATAGACTCACTCAGACTCATTGTATATTGATAGTAAGCCTAGTTAACTGATAAAGAACTTGTGAAGATGGTTATACTTAAACAGGACTGCATGATGATAGACAAGGGAAAACCTGTCAGATTCTGGCTTTTTTTTTTTTTTTCCTACCAATTAACTGGCTTTTTCTATGATTGATTAAAATATATGGAACTTTGTTTTCTATGACAAGCTTAAGTTTTGCGCATTTCTTTGGTAATTTATCCTACACTAGGTATGTTCCAGGGTTTCTGAAAGATCACCAGAACTGTCATTTATTTAGAATGGGGAACGTTGTCCCTGCACATCTGAGAATTAAACTATTATAAAGTGAAGAAGTGAATTTAATTATTCTTTTATAGCGTATAAAACAGCAGTGAAGAAATGGTGAAGGAAAGTGTGGCAGCAGGATGGAGAAAAAGGGAAGGGCTGAGTATAGAGATTGTGTTAATTAAAATCTGTGAGAGCCTCTGATTTCTTTGACATTTTAAATTGCGATGAACTGCAGTGTAATTTAATTTTGAAGGCATTTGAGTCCATTCTTGAGTATTGACTGATTATCTCTCACTCCGCATACAAAACTTGAATAGCAATTTATCTTATAGTTCAACTGAGTAGTTTAGCATAGCTTCTGCTTCTCAGAAATATTTTCAATTAGTAATCAAGCCTACATCAATACTTCAGAATGAATGGAATAAAACTGTAATGACTGGGGTAGGTTAATGGAAGTGTTCTTAAACCTTGCACCAAGGGTAATAAGCTTATATGACCTACTATAATGCCCGAGTAAGATGTTCTCTGGTCTCTAATGAAATCTAAATTCTCTTTTAATTTTTTTAGAGCCAGTTGGCATCTTGATGGATATGTGTGGTTATTCTGAAACTGTGGTGGTGGTGGGATGGTTTTGAGCTATCATTGATTGACAAGGAAACTTATGCTGATTCTTCTAAGTAGCACCTCAGATGGCATGTCCTAACAGAAAATTTTGTGATGACCCTTCTGCTAGCATGTTGTAATAGTTTGACCAGAGTTAGTGAATGGTGTCTGGACTTCTGGATTGGTTGTCTAACATTTCTCACATGAACTGCACTAATGACAAATACTTAAGTGTTCTTTCATCCAGGAATTTCATGGTCTATTGATGTCACGTGGCTGGCAATGACACAGGTATCTTTTGTGAGGAAAAGGGAGCACATGGTAGGAGGAGCTCCAGGGAACATGCTCAGGCCACCAACTGTCATTCACTTCATACATTACTTAGACTTGCCACAGTTTAAGTTGCAAGCTCCTCTTTCTTTTGAAAGTCTCTTGCTCTGCTTTCCTTGTTTCTGTGTTCATGCTGCATCTCTAGGCACAGATGAAAATGTTTGCGTTAAGTATGCAATTGTATGTATATATGTGCATACACAGTATTACAAAATACAAGCAGTAGATTTAGATTAAGAAAACGTGAGAAATGGACAGAAGATATCCAGTTGGTACAAATGTGGGAGCATAACAGGAAATTTCAGAAAATTCTGCTCTTGTATATCTGATTTGCCTCTTTACAGTTGAGTTCTGTGGTTCTGAAACTCATTTTGTGCAAGCGTAATATCTTACATGATTTCAGTATTTATCCATTGGAATTAATAGCTGCGCTGGGAACCTGTTTCTGGAAGATGCATAAAAACTTATAAAGTAAGCTAGTTTTCAGGGTGCTAGTATTTCTGAGTCTGACGTGTACTTTCACAACACCTACCTCTTTGCTTTATTTGTGTGCCAGATGACTCTTTACTCCTGTGAGTTTAACTTATCAAAGTTAAATTATGAATTTGCCARATCTTAATGATCACCTTTTTTTGGTCCCCTTTTACACAAGGAGATTATTTTTTTCCCCATTAAGATTTCACGTCACGTAAGTGTTAGTCTGACTATATTATGGTTGTTACCTCTTTCCAGTGGATTCATGTATTGCCTACTATGTCTACTTTATTCACACGAAGCTATTTTACAGCTAAAATTTTTCTCAATGAATGGTTAATCCTCAGACATTTTTAATTTCAATCATGTGTTGTCTCCAGGCATTTCCTGTTTGAAACTTAATTAGCTCATTTGAATTAGTTGCAGAATATTTTGTGTACCTTAGAAAATGCCAGGAAATCACTTACTATTTTGAACAAATTCATCATTTCATTAGGATTATTGTAAATCTATAAATAAGAGAAAAATGTATTAAGCCTTAGAAAAGCTATGTAGCGTTTAGCTGTGGAAGTAATTCTAGAAGCTTTCAACATGGATCACTTGAGTATATGGAAGAGCTTGAGCTGCTGCAAGATATGTGTAGCTTCATGACGCTACATGACCAATTTTTTCTTCTACTTGGTAGAAAAATAGATCCAATGCATACATTTCTCCTATGTTGATTCTGTAATAAAAATCTTCCTGAAAGTATCTATAGCAAAATAGCAGCAGCTCTGTAAGAACAGAAGCACCTTAATTTTMATGTAATTTTCTTTTTGATAGAAACAGTGGTTATGTATGCTGTTTTTGAAAGGAATGTCTGTGGTGTAAACTCCATCAGAAATCTGACCTTTGTTTTGTGTGATGAATGTCAAAATGAAATAAGAGAACCCTGAGAAGATTCTTTAATCTATTCCTATTGTTCACATTTATTCCTGTCTTGAAATAAGAGGGGACTCAAAAGCCTAGAATATGTTGCTTGGGACTTGTGATTTATCTAGTTGCAGCTATGTCTTTTGTTCCTTCAGTGCAAACTGAACTTTTCTTTATAGAAAGAGGGAAAGACAATGGGAATATGTGTTGAGGGTTTGTACAATGAGAGAGACAATAGGAATATGTGTTGAGGGTTTCTGTACATTGGTGCTTGTATCGTGTGAGGAGATGGCGTTCGTCTGGGATGTAATTTATATAGACATGAAGCTTCCTTTCTGAAGAAAACTATAATTGGTTAGTATTGTATATTGGTGTGAATTAGTGTGGGCTAAACATCATAGGAAAATATATCTGTAGGCATTCTGGCACACTTGGAAAGGAAGTGTATTTGGACTTCTTGGCAAGTGTGTGCACCAGGGACAAAGAAGGGATAACTGACAAGATTTATTCAAAGTGGAGAAGACATAGGTCTTGGTTACTATGTGCATAATGTAGCTAGAGCAGGGCACATGTTGCCATTTGCTTGGTGCAGCATGATGCCTCCCCCACCCCAAGGTGTACCTTTTTGCAGTCTCACCCCCCAGGAAGCCTTAGTTTGTAACCTGGCTTC